CCGGCCTTGCCCCAGGAGGGAGGGGGAGGGGAAGGGGAAGGGGGAGGGGCAGGCAGGGAGGGCCTCGCAGAGAAGGGGCCAGCAATCCGGCGGAGGGGAGGCACGCCGGGTTCAGGTCTGCGGCCGGCCGTCGGCTCTGTGGGCACCTCTGTGGGCAGCGGCAAGCAGGAGGAGGGTGCCGATGAACCAGGCTCTGGGGCTCAGCGGTCCCCTCCCCCCACCAGCCAGAAGGAAGCCCAGGCCATCGACCAGGAACTCTTCGAGGAGTACAAGTTCAGCGTGGACCAGCTGATGGAGCTGGCGGGGCTCAGCTGCGCCACGGCCATTGCCAAGGTAGGTGGGGGCCGGGCTCCGTCCGTCGGGGCTCGAGGGAGACTCCCCCGCTTGCCCTTCCCCTCCCGCTGTCGAAAGACCCAGACCCAAGGCCGGAGGCGAAAACGTTCCCGTTGTGTAGCTCAGCAGCAGGTCTTGAGCTCTTCGGTGTCCAGAGATTAAAAGCTGGGTTCGCACAACACACTGGGCGAGACGCAGCAGAGCCGGATAGCGAAGGGCTGCTGGTCTCCATGCGCCTTCCCATGTTCACGTGAACCGGACGGTTGCGTTCGGCGTTGCCTGGTTTCCCTGGGCAAAGCGTGAGATGAGAATGCAGTATTTGTATTCTGTTAGCCCGTTTTAGAGTTAAGCGTGTCCTGTGAATGCAAACACAGAGTTGAGTGGAAATTACAGAGCTTTCAGCCTGTGTGCGTCTGTGCGCGTATGGGCAGTATTTCCTTGAAAAGAAGGTCCTTTCTCTCTAAATAATTTATACTTCAAGTGGGGTGAGATGGGAGAACCATCTTCGATTGGTTGAGAGTATGGGAATGAAGACAGATGATCTCTTTTCAGGGAGGGAATAATTACATTTCTTTCAAGTAGACCTGGGCGAGGGGACTGGGAATATGAAGCAAAGGTACATAATTCCAGTTACTGCTGAAGGTCGGAGAACAGCAGAACTCCGGGCACCATCAAACTGTGTTTATGCACAGTTTTATCCTTTATTTCCAGAAGATTTCAGAAGCTTGCTTATGGAGTCATGAAGACTAGAAACTTGCTCTTCTTTACATTTATATTCTCTAGATTAGAATTCGGACCCTTGCAAATCTTTCCCCGATATCCCATTGTGTGTGGGGGTCTCCCAGGGAGTTTGCTTCCCTACGGACGAGCCTCTCTTTCTCTCCCCAAGGCGTACCCAAGCAGCAGCTTCACCATCAGCCAGCCAGCGGTCCTGATTGTGTGCGGCCCTGGGAACAACGGCGGAGATGGACTAGTTTGTGCCCGTCATCTGAAAATGTTTGTAAGTGATTTGCACGTATTCTGGGCGTGTTTGTAAGGGATGCTGGGGAAAGGCTGGTACTGGCATCCCGGAGGTTGGGCTTCAGAACGGCTGGGAGGGGGGCGGGGGCTGTTATTCCTGTACCATTTTTATATGCCGCTCTTCTAAACAGGAGCGGTCTCCTTAGGAAAATGCCTGATGACGAAACTGCTTAGTGATAAAGGAGTAGGCAGTTTAAAAAGTGGTGACCGCGTGAGCATGTCTCTGTAATTTTCTTGGCAACGGATGCTGGCCACCACATCACGCCAGGTCCTTTGTTTTTTATGCCTCAAAAAAAAAAAAAAAAAGACGGGCACCTTTCTGACCGAGCTCTGGCCAGCTAACCCCAGAGCGTGGGGCAGAACGTGCGCCCCAGCAGCCTGCCATGCGGGACAAGTGGAAAGCAGTGGCGTCAGAGCCCTGCAGCTGGGGCAGGCCCAGGTCGGGAAGAGGCTCTGGGAAGGCTGGCAGACGATGGCCAGAGGTTGTGAACCTCTGTCCGTGGAGGTTCACTGGAGTGCGTTCCTGTGCCGATGCAGCGGTTTGATCGGTCGGGCTTCTCAAGCCGTGGTTTCAGAAACAGCAGTGAGGAACAGAACACCCCCCAAGGCAGGCCAGAGAAGTCCTTCTCCACCAAGGGATCAACCCTCCTGTCTTCGCAGGGCTACGAGCCAACCCTGTATTATCCCAAACGCCCCAATAAGCCGCTTTTTGAAGGTTTAACTACCCAGTGCAAGAAGATGGACATCCCGTTCCTTGTGGAGTTTCCATCCGAAGTAAGTAGAAGACAAAAGAAGCCCTTCCTGCTTGCGGACTGGGGAATTCTAGGAGCTGAAGTCCAGACATCCTAGTGGTCAGGGTTGAGGAACACTGCTGTCGAGAGAGCTCCCGGAGTGGGGAAGGCTGGACTGAAGCATCTCTTGGGGCTCCCCCGTCTGCAGCCCTTGCGTTGCATTCACACAGCTGCGATTTCCCTGGCAGGCTGCCCTCATCGACGCAGTCTACGGCCTGGTGGTGGATGCCATTTTTGGATTCAGCTTCCAGGGAGCTGTGAGGGAGCCATTCGCTGCAATCCTGGGCACTTTGGAGAAGGTCACCATCCCAGTTGTCAGCATCGATATTCCTTCTGGTACGTTTGGCCCAGGCTGGGTGGTCCTTGAGGAAAGGCCTCAAGGTGGGGGGGGGGGCTCATCTCTCATCCTGCTCACCTCTGTTCTTGTGTGCCCCGCCCCCATTTCTGTCAAACTTAGATCTTTGTAAATTTGGATATTCTGTTTTGCAGCAGTGAAATTCTGCAACCTTTTGATTTGGTCATGAACCGCTTGGTATCGTCTTGGGCCTGGCTGAGTCTCGTAGAGTTGCACTGATTTAACTAACCCCCCTCTCCTGCCCCTCCATGCAGTTTGTAGAAATAATTCTGCCCAAGAACAGTTTTGGAGAATTTGAATAGAATTTGGTCAGGGGCTGACAAATTTGGCCTCTAGCAGATTCTAGACTCGTAATTTGAAAGAGATTGAATCCAGTTAGCCTGGGTTTCTTCATAGCAGTAGTCTATTTTTCCCCCTAATGCTATGAGTGGTCAAATATTCTAGGCATTCATTTAAACCAAGGTTCTCCAAAGGGTTGATGGGACTATCCACCGTTGTCATTGTTATTATTCAGAGTAGAATTGGTTAAAGTAGTATTTGTTAAGTTATTTTCATATGTTTGGGGTCAGTGAACAATCTGAAACTTCACGAAGGGGTTGATGAGCCAGAGTTTGGGGGCACTTGCTTTAAACAAATTCAAAAACATGAAACCAAGTCCTGTACCAACCTCCCGCATCCCCTTTCTTGCCAGAGAGGCCACACAGGGAGGTCTGCATACCTCTCCTCTAAAATAAACTGAGGAAGTGGAGGCCAGCTGCTGAGGGTGGGGGCTGGAGGGTAATTTGGGGAGCCTCCTCCCCGTTTATCTCCACTCAAAAAGTATTTTGTGAGGTCGCTGTGTCTGCCAGGCCAGGCTCTGGAATCCAGTAGTTTAACTCTTCTGACTCTGTTTGGTGACCTCGCTGAATATTGTCTGAATATTTCATTTTTTCCTTTCTCTTCTGGTCTTGCTTTGCCCCTCCTGAAATCTGGAGAAAATGGGGCTGATTTTACAAAGGATGCGTGAGGGTGGAATCAGATGCCGGGGGCACCACGGGTTTAGCTACACCAGGGGACCACAGCAGGGCTCCCTCTGCGGCATCTCTGTTCGGGAGAAGCAAGCGTGGTCCTTGGCCAGCTACCCGCAGGCGGTCTATCTTTCACTCACAGCCCCCTTTCCTCTCGTTGCCAGGCTGGGATGTGGAGAAGGGGAACCCTGACGGGCTGCAGCCGGACATGCTGATCTCGCTCACTGCGCCGAAGAAGGCAGCCCGGCAGTTCCAGGGGCGCTACCATTTCCTCGGGGGCAGGTTTGTGCCCGAGGCCCTGCAGAAGAAGTACGCGCTCAACCTGCCGGCGTACCCAGAGACGGACTGCGTCCTGCGCCTCTCCTAGGACCAGGCCCAGCCCAGCGGGGTGCAGCAGGCTCGGGGGAGACTCTGAGGCCCACCTGCTGGAGGTGAAGTTGGGGGGGGGCTGGTGCAGCCCAGAGGTCCTGTGGGGCCACATTCCAATGCCCCCCAGGAGGACAGCGCAGATCTTGCTCTCAGGGCCAGTGAGAGGGCTTGCTTAATTTGATTGCATTTCAAATCCATGCAAGCAAGAAGCTCTTGTTAGTCTCTAAAAGAGCTTATACAAATTGGGTGTTTGCTTTCCTTGAATAAAGATGTGCTGGGGGGAGAGCTTGCTCCATCATTTACAAAATCAACGGTCTGCACTGTTTTACTTGGTTCGCTTCCTTTAGGGCAAAGGTGCCGGAGATGCAGGAGGGAAGACGCTACAGGGAAGTGCTGGGGAGGGGTCTTCACAAGCATGTTTGGGGAGGAGATCTCTCACATGGGACTGCAGGACAGAAAAGCCTCCTTGGAGGGAATGCCGCCTCAACCAGTGGGGAACCAGCTTCTTGGGCGTGAGGAGCCCCTCTCTGTACCTGGCTTGCTTTTATCTTTGGAGGACGAGAGAGGCAGGACCCCTCTGAGTTCCAAGCCAGCAAGGAAACTCAAGCACTACTCTTTCAAATTTAATACCCATTTATGTAAAAATACAGTACTCTTTCCAGCCTTGCTGTTCTGTTTTCCCCAGTAACTAAAAAAAAAAGCAAAGCGCTTTCCTGGTGAGGGAAATCAGCCAGTCCTTTCGTTGATAAAAGGACGGGCGGTAGAAAGACAGAGCTGCTCTCTCGGCAAGAGACAGCCTGCCCCAGCGCCTCCTGGTCCTGGGAGGGCGGCCTGCTCCTTCGGTTAGAAGGGGCTGCCTTCACTGGCCACGCCAGAGCCTTCCAAATGCAGAAAGCTGGACCAACTCCCAGCCTTCCCCACTCCCCACTTGTGGACTGCAGGCCAAGAACAGCCCCTTGTAGGTCAGCCTGCAAAAGACAGAAGGGGTGTGGGGGGGGGACAACCTGCATCAATACCTGCATGGCCCGGGGGAATGGGAGCTGGGCTTCTCCAGGCCACTCTGCAGCCTGCAGAGGTCCAGTTTCTCCTCCTGGTGTGAGGAGGGCCCGGGGGCTCGCAGGCTCCTCTGTGCCAGATGGCAGGGTGGCTCCACCACAGGCCCCCGGCCTGTGAGCTCAAAGCATCTGCCCCCGAGCCCCCCACTGAGCATGCTCCCCTCCTGGGCTTAGTGTGGGTTTTTGCTTGTTCTTGGTCTGTCTCCTTCACAGATTTTTCCTCGGGGAGGAATGAAAGTTCAATGGCGCGACTGCACCTAAACAAGTCTTCCACGTCCTGCCACTTGTGAAAAGGGCTGAATGTTATTTAGCACAAAGGTGGCAAAGCCAAAACCCCAAAGGCTTTTGTACACACGTTGGCTGGGTTTACAGAACACACTCAACTTCAAACAGGTTAACAAACCTGGCAGCTCTTTTTGCACAACATGCTATGTCCAATAAATCCCCTTCCTTCCTTCCTTCCTTCCTTCCTTCCTTCCTTCCTTCCTTCCTTCCTTCCTTCCTTCCTTCCTTCCTACCTACCTACCTACCTACCTACCTACCAACCATTAAAATCCAAACAAATAAAAACAATACAAATATAAATATATTAATGGCTAGTCCACACAATCTACAAAGGCTACAACTGGGTTTCTCACAACATGCTGAATCACACACTACCAGAACTCATGTTAACCTAACTGACTTTGTTGGACAAACCCACCCCATGGCTGCATCCAGGCTTCGGCCCATCAGCAAATGGACTGGAGTTGTTTACTCGTTACATCCCCCTGGTTTCAATACATCTCCCCATAAACATCATTAAATCCAGATCCAAGCTTCTCTAAATAGGGTGCTCTCCCAGTACTGCTCCTAAGATGGGCCTTTCTGCTCCAGCTTCCTTCTGTCTTCAGAGCCTAAGACGAGGTCTCTGCTCTGCCTCGTTAATTCAGAGAAAGGCCACCAATCTTTGGCTGCAGCTCTCTCAAGGTGGCGTCTACTTTTTGGCACATGGTCATTCCGTGGCTTAAGAGTCACAGCCTCAGTGGCAAACTGCCAAACCAGTTACCACTATGTCAAGTCCAGCCAGAGCCCCCTTACATGCCCAGCTTCTACCACAATGTTGGCAGCAGACAAGGTGAGATGGTCCCACCAAAGTAAGGTTGAATTCTGAGTTAGGCTGTGGCCCACCTGGGCCAAGAGGAGCCACATAGCCCCAAATGCTCCCAAGCCATTCCCAAGAACCTGAGCTTGGAACCCTAAAGCCAAGAAAATAAGAGTTCCCTACACCACTGTTCCATCTCCCCCTGGTTCCCTAGGGCACATCTCCAGTTTGTCCCCATCTATTTGATCAGGAGAAGCATCAATAACCTCAGATATGTAGACGATACCACCCTAATGGCAGAAAGTGAAGAAGAAATAAAGAGCCTCTTGATGAGGGTGAAAGAGGAGAGTGCGAAAGCTGGCT